CTGTCATCATTTTAAGTGGGGGAACTTGCACAATCGGTGGCTGACTAAATACTTTTTTGCCCCACTGTAAGTCTGACATAACTGGCTAAGTCCTGACTGGAGTGTTTAGACATCATTGGCAAACTTGAACAGCTTCTATAAAAGGATAAAGTGTATTGCAAAAAATGAAACAAATCATGATGAATTAATTTTATGCGGCAGGAATGTAAACACATGCTGCCCATTCCAGGAAATGGATGTGACTAACTCCTTAGTCATCTCTGGATTCCTGTTACAGCCTCCCCCACAGCTTTCATGTCTCCAACTTCCTGCCTCTTACTGCACTGGTGGAAAGGGGCTGGGTGTTGGAAACATGAACATATAAATGTTCATTTATTTCAGAGAAGCAGAGGCACATGACAAAGGAGAACTAAGCTTTGGTCTGTATTTTCTACATGTGTGTGCCTATCTGTCTGTGCGCATTGGTGTGTGTATAAGAAAGGGAAACTGTTTCACATTCAGTGTCTCTTCGTGAAATGGAGCAGCAACATATTCAAGTAGAGAAGTAAAAGCTCTGCTGTTCGATCTGTTTGGATCTGCTGAAGGATCCGGTGACTATTCCCTGTGGACACAGCTACTGTACAAACTGTGTTAAACATCACTGGGATGAGGAAGATCACAAGAAAACCCACAGCTGCCCTCAGTGCAGACAGACCTTCACACCGAGGCCTGCTCTGGTGATAAACACTGTCTTGGCAGAGTTAGTGGAAGAGCTGCAGACGACTGAACTCCAAGCTGATCACTGCTGCGCTGGACCTGGAGATGTGACCTTTGATGTCTGCACTAGGAGGAAGCTGAAAGCTACCAAATCCTGTCTGGAGCGTCTGGTCTCTTACTGTGGGCAACACTTCCACTCTCACTATGAATCCCCTGCCTATAAAAAACACAAGCTCATCAAACAATCAGGGAAGCTCCAGGGGAACATCTGCTCTTGTCACGGTAAAGAGTTGAAGCTTTTCTGCCGCACAGACCAGAAGTGTATCTGCCTTCTCTGCGCAGTGTATGAACACAAACACCACGACATGATCTTGGCCTCGGAAGAACGCAGTAAATGGGAGGGGCATCTTGTTTCAAGTCAACAAAAGATTAAAAAGAGAATCCAGGACTGAGAGAATGATATGAAGGTGCTTCAGCATGAGATGGATGCCATCAATTATTCTGCTGATAAGGCTCTCAAGGAAAGCGAGGAGATCTTTACTCAGTTGCTCTATCTTATCAACAACATGAGCTCTGATGTGAAGTTGCAGATTAAATCCCAGCAGAAGACAAAAGTCAGTTGAGCCAAAGAGCTTCGAGCCAAGCTGCAGCAGGAGCTCAGGTGGCTGAGGAGGAGAGATGCTGAGCTGGAGCAGCTGTCACACACAAAAGATCATGCAACGTTTATTCAAAATTACTCCTCTTTGACATGCATAAATCAGGGAACCAATCCATACAGGATTAACATGCATCTTCTGCAGTACTTCGAGGACGTGACACTAGCTGCGCACAAGGCCAAAGAAAAACTACACGTGATTCTTACCGATACTTCCACCAAAATCTCACTGATAGAGAAAGAAGTTAGTGTCTCAGTACCATCAGGAGAGCCTAAGACCCGAGCAGAATGTTTACAACACTCACAAGTACTCACACTGGATCCAAACACAGCAAACACACACTTGTCACTATCTGAAGGGAACAGAAAAGCAACTGTGATGAGTGAAAAACAGTTATATCCCAGTCATCAAGACAGATTCACTGACATGTTTCAGGTCCTGAGCAGAGAGAGCCTGAGTGGACGTCATTACTGGGAGGTGGAGAAGAAGTGATTTGAAGTTTCAATAGCAGTTACCTACAAAGATATCAGAAGAACAGGGTATGAAAGTGGATTTGGAAATGATGACAAGTCCTGGGCTTTAGAGTGTTTTCATAACAGTTATCAGTTCAGACACAATGCCACCAGCACTTTAATCAGAGGCCCTCAGTCCTCCAGAATAGGTGTGTACCTGGATCGCAGTGGAGGTATTTTGTCCTTCTACAGCGTCTCTGACACGGTGAATCTCCTCCACAGAGTTCAGACCACATTCACTCAGCCACTGTATCAGGGTCTTGGTGTTTTTGCTTCTTCTGATGCTGCTGCTGCTGCTGCTGAGCTGTGCGAGCTAAAAAGTCCTGTGTAAGTTGTGCTAAAAATCAGTGATTTCCATGAGAGTAACTGAGGGACAGGCAAAGACTTAAGGCAGTAAAAGATGTATTAATATAAAAAAACAAAAACAAACAAAAAGCATCTGAAGATTATAAATAAGGATATGTAACAATAATCATGAAATGCATAATTAAACTTGAACAAAGACACAATTTGGGGACATAGCAGTTCAAGCTACTTGTGCTAAAAGTCAGTGATTACTGTAAAAAGAAATATTTGTGGACACATATGGTTGTTTCTATGGTAGAAGAGGGTTAATGGCATAAAGAAAGCTTTTAGAAATAATTATTTGACCGTTTTATACAAAATACATAGATTCTGTAATGGGGACTCAAATGGCACTAAATAGTTTGAATGCACCAAACAAAGTTAAATATTTTATTACCCATCACTGCCTGCATTGATTTAAATTTAAATAGTAGAAGCCTCACAGTGGGTCAATACAATATTTCTCTTTAAATTGCATCAAAGGTGATCCATTAGAGTCCAGTCAGGTGGCATGTTGGCCAGTTTTCATTGCTGCTTATCACAGCAGCTTTATCTGATTTTTGTCTTTGTTCCTGTTGTATAGCCACTAAAAGGGTGATGCTTTCAATGAACTGAAACAGAGGTAGGACAATTTTCTATGTAACCATGCTTCTGTGAATAATTTGACACAAACATATATATTAGAGTTAGCATACTAATCTCCTAAAGAGAAGAAAATTCAGCAAAGCTTCTTGTTTCAAAAAAAAAAAAACTTAATATATCCCACCTTCATATTTTGCAACACTTCTGCTCTACCTAAACAGAGTTGTGCTGGCATCTCCTGTTTACATTAGCAGGCATTCCTAAATCTCCAGAGCAATTAAATAAAGCAAACATGGAAGTGAGTCAACTAAAGTGATAGTGGGTGTGGAGGGGGTGTCAGCAGGTTTACAGAGATCAGTTTGTTTTGTGATATGTTCTCGTGCCTCTTTGGATTTGATAACTAAACTGTTAAATCATGTTTTTGGTTTTTTTTTTAGTTTTTTAAACACATGTCAGGTTTATGATCATTATTAAAAAAATAGAAAAGCACATTTAAACTTGGACTGAGCCGAGACTGGTTTTAAAACCAAGTGTAAAGAAAATCCAGTGATTTATTTCATAGTTTGCTAAAGCACAAGACTTTGTGTGTTTTCAGACACAAGTCTTTTTTCACATGTTTACACTCCAGTATTATTAGCTTAAAATACAAGCTCTGTAGTCAACGAGCAGTTACTTTCAGTGAAGAGACGTTGCTTGAAATGTTTAAATCATGTGTTTTGTTGTATGTGAATATTGGCACAATCCTTGTTAAGTGTGTAACATCTTTTGCAAATAAAACCGTGATTTATAATCTTTATTTTCAATACAGAAATATGGATCTATTTTAAAGCACACAATTTGTGTTTGTGTCTTTTACTGTAAAAACGATTTTAATACAGTTTTGTTTTCAAATATTTGATTTAGTCAATTCTTTCCCTTCAGTTAACCATAAAGATGTACAAGACAGTATAGTTTTTATTGCTTATATTCAAAAAATTTTTTAAAAATTGCTTCTTATATTCACCTTTATATTTTTGATGGATGGGTCAAATGTTTAGCATGCAGGACAAAAGAGATGAACAAATTTGTCGTGTCATTGTATGCAGGGCTGCTTAACGATGTGTGGTTTCTCTTAATGTCACCCCAAAGACCAAGTCAGGCAACATATTTGACCAGGTTTTATTTTGGCTTCTTCAGAAACTTGGGGTGTGATTTTGTGTGTGCTTTGGACACCATTGATTGTGTGGAATATTTCTGCGCTGCTAAGACAAAGTGTGTAAGAAACACAATAAAACTTGGAAGTGCCACAAAGTGTAATTTCTTTACTGGCCACACCAAAAGTCCCCCCCCTCCCGCTTCTTCTTCTTTCATAAATACTCTAAGATTTTTAATAAGTCATCCATTTGAATTCTGTTTATCCAAAAGCTCAGTTCATATTCTTAAAGAACTGTAATGTGATTCTTCTTGCATAAGTCATGCATTTGGTTAATACGTGGAATTAGAAGCGTGGCCACTTTGAATGATCGGTATGACTATGGCCCAGGGAGCTGCCGGTGTTAGGTGTCTACAAGGCTTTACTCTACTAGTTGGAGCCACTGAACTAGTTAAGCTAACCGAGCATTTTAATGCACCTATCTTACAAAGAATATGGATTATTTGAGGCGCGTTGGATTCGTTTTTCAGGGTCAGGGGTTGATTGGCTGCAATGGTCTCTGCCTTGGGCCTTCCGTTTTTAATATAGTCTTTATAAAAATAACCTAGTATTACACATTGGATTATTGATAGGAGTAAATACAGCAACTGCATTTAGAACAATGGCCTAAATTGAAAAAGTCCATTTCCACACAGGCGTCAATTTTTGCAGTGAATTACGTTTCGAAAGACAGAAAATGTCAGCAAGAAATGAAGAATAAATGAATATCTGACGTTTTGTTTTTCTTTTCTTTCTTTCAATCGTCAGTTGAGAATTTTAAAACATTAAGCTGCTGGAGTGGGGACCTTCATATTGAAAGTGACAGAAAAAAATGTATTTCCGACATTTTCTAGGTCGCATTTATTTAAACTTTAGAAGCCCTAATTTACCGTAATAATTCTATGCATATGTCCTCCGCAGATATTATTAACTGTACAATGGTGTACCTCATTAGTTAATCGTGATAATAAAATAAAGGTACCGAAAGGCGGAACCCTTGTGTAAGAGGGCTGTTGCACTTACACGGAATGTTTTGGCGTGGCACGTAAGAACGCGGAAGTAGGGCTGTGTTTCTCGGATTTGTTTATTTTTTCCTCTTTACCGAATTTAAGGGAAAAGTAATGGCGGTGAGCGCCGTCCACCTGGAGTCCGACGCCTTTCTGGTGTGCATGAACCACGCGCTGAGCACAGAGAAGGAGGAGGTGATGGGTCTGTGTATCGGGGAGGTGGAGGTCTCCCGTATTGTCCACATCCACTCCGTCATCATCCTCCGCCGCTCCGACAAGAGGAAAGACCGGGTGGAAATCTCCCCGGAGCAGTTGTCGGCGGCCTCCACGGAGGCGGAGCGGCTGGCAGACATGACCAGCCGGCCGATGCGGGTGGTCGGCTGGTACCACTCCCACCCGCACATCACCGTGTGGCCCTCCCACGTCGACGTGCGCACCCAGGCCATGTACCAGATGCTGGATCAGTGTTTCGTGGGCCTCATCTTCTCCTGCTTCATCGAGGACAAGAACACTAAGACGGGTCGAGTGCTCTACACCTGCTTCCAGTCCGTGCAGGCGCAGAAGGGCTCCGAGTACGAGCGTGTGGAGATCCCCATCCACGTCTTGCCCCGCGAGGCCATCGGAAAGGTGTGCCTGGAGTCGGCCGTGGAGCTGCCTAGGATCTTGTGCCAGGAGGAGCAGGACACCTACCGCAAGATCCACAGCCTGGCGCACCTGGACCCCGTCACCAAGATCCACAACGGCTCGGTGTTCACCAAGAACCTGTGCAGCCAGATGTCGGCGGTGAGCGGGCCGCTGCTGCAGTGGCTGGAGGACCGGCTGGAGCAGAACCAGCAGAGCATCTTGGAGCTGCAGCGGGAGAAGGAGAAGCTAATGCAGGAGCTGGCGGCTCTGTGAGGCATAAGACAGTTCGGAGATTAGTGCCAGCTGTCTGTCCCAGAGGACAAGAACAATGTGCTGCCTTTATTTGAGCTTCTTTTCTGTTTTCCTACCATCCAGATAGTGTCTGGGTGTTGAACCTCAATACTTTGAGTGAAAAGTTTCAAACTGTTGACATTAAATGTCTGCTCACTATTGAATTCTGAGCTGTTTATTCATAATTAGCTATAATTTAAAATTTTCTTCAGAATACTGACAGGTGTCCCACTTGATGTGGGACTGCACGGCATTTTAAATGCTTGTCTCCATGCTGCACATGTTGACACAGTGTCTCACATTTTTTGAGTGGCTCCAATCAAAATTAAAACATGCCAGCTGCATAACATGTTGCAGAAAAAACGTATGTTCATCTCTGGATAAATCCATACTGAAATGAGACAGAATAAATTGGTTGGTTTTTGCAATGGACAAAAAAGGAAGGCTTTGAAAAGCAAGCAAACTTCTTTTTTTGATTTTATGGTTACTGTATTAACTCAGAGAGGAAGTCACGCTGAGTTTTTTAAGTTATGGGTACACAAAACTTAAAAAAGTTCAGCAACACTTTCTTTTGTTTTTGATGGTTTCTCAAGCTTTTCTAGTCACTGGGCCAAGAATGTGTATGAAAGGAATTAATACACACTTTTGAATGCCATTTCTTTTTCTGGGATTTATCAGATTTATTGGTTTGGATCTACTGATCTTATTAATATATTCTTAATATTAATATATTTAAAAATATATCATGTACATACAATTTGATGACACAGGCGGAAATAACTGTGGTTCAGTGTCTTGCCCAAGGACACTTCAGCATGTGGACTCTCTCTACAGTCTCTATGATGTGCAGGCATGCACACTAAATGCAAATCCACCCTCTCTATTCGTATTTCTATATCTGTCTCCATTTCTCTCCGTGCTTTTCTCTCTGTCTCTCTCTTTCAGAAGGGGACCTGATTATCTTTAGGTACTTGTTAAACAAGTCTCCCTGCGAGACACAAAGAAAAAATTTGGAGGTGAAAATGAGAGAATAAAAAGAGATAAATAAATGCAGATAAAGATGAGTGGCAGTCGAGAACCAGATCACTCTTAAACACCAGCTTAAATCTGTTTTACGTACGTATATACTCTTAAAACATGTAACCAGGCTTTCAGTGTTGCAAATTTCCTGTTTCTAGCTAGGTCAAATCCAAATTTAGTGTACAGGTCATAAGATCATATAGAGGCTAAATCATGATGCATTATGAATCATTTTCACATTTTTGTTGTAATAATTATATATTTCTTGTTTATTTTAGTTCTCATGTGGTCAAAAAGTCTAAGTCAAAATTCTCAGCATTTGCCAATTACAGCTTTTTAAGTTATATAGATATTTTTAATATTCTACTTCTCAGAAATAATTTACGATTTCCAGCTGTGAATTACATCTTATTTACATTTTTTAACATTATATGCTAGATGGAACTTGATGAAATGACCAATATAGATATATGTCCAGTAGCAGAATATCTTGTAGTTATGTTTTACTCCCCTCTGGTGGCCAAATTAAACACGAGCGTGCATATTTAATCAATACTTTAATTTGTTGCTGATTAAAGTATTTTAGAGTTCATTTGGTGTTAAAATGACACTAGATGATCAATAATTATTTTTAACTGCATAAAAATGAATGAAAGGTTTAATGAACCTGCCGCACAAAATGAAAACAGTATATATATGATAAACACAAATCATGCTGTTTTTAAATCTATTATGTATAAAATATAATGACCTAAAAAAAAAAACCCAAAAAACAGTCGTCTTAGTTGCTAAGTCGTTTGGTTACTTCAGGGTTAATCTGCCTGATCACGTCTCAGTTGCTAGAGATTCCATAACATGTCAGACTGCACTAACCACTTTTATGCACTGTAAAATCTAATTAGTTCCCAGAACTCAAAAAAATTGAGGAAACTCGTTGCCTCAAAGAAATTGAGTAAAGCTTAGCTAAAAATGACTAAATTAGGATAACTTATTTATTTTGAGTACTCTGTACAAGCTCATTTGTTCCCAGAACTCAA